TATTTTACATATCTGAACAATAACTGCCTGGCAGGATGTGAGTGGGTGGGCATCAGACTGCCTCCTGTTTTTTTCCTGCCCACCCTTCTGTTTTCAGCTTCTCCTTTCCCCAATCCCAAGATACATATTGTCACCAGTCCCTGAGGATTTTTAATGAGCTTAGTGAGGTCTTTATGTGGTTAATGATACTCATCATGTCAACATTATTTTTCCACTGCTGGCTTAAGAGTGTGTGGTGTGGACTGAGCTCCCAAGGTCCAAATGAGGAGCAGAAGGAGGGAGAACATGAGCAAGGAAGTCAGGACCGCGAGGGGTGCATCCACCCACTGAGACGGTGGGACTGATCTAATGGGAGCTCACCAAGGCCAGCTGGACTGGGACTGATGGAGCATGTGATCAAACCGGACTCTCTGAATGTGGCTGACAATGGGGGCTGACTGAGAAGCCAAGGACAATGGCACTGGGTTTTGATTCTACTGCATGGACGGGCTTTGTGGGAGCCTGGTTTGTTTGGATGCCCACCTTCCTAGACCTGGATGGAGCGGGGAGGACCTTGGACTTCCCACGGGGCAGGGAACCCTGACTGTTCTTAGGACTGGAGGGGGAGGGGGAGTTGGGGGAGGGGGAGGGAAATGGGAGGTGGAAATTTTTAATAAATAAATAAATAAAGAGTGTGTGGTGTGGTGTGGTGTGTGTGTGTGTGCAGAAGTCAGACATCAACACTGGGTAACTGATGAAGACAGGTTCTCTCACTGGACATAGAGTTCACTGACTTGGTAGAATAGCTGGCTAGCTAGACTCAGGGATCCTCCGCCTCCATCTCCCTAGTGCTGGGATCACAGGTGCCTGTTTCTGTGCCCAGCTTTTTAAGTGGGTGGGAGCATTGAGTTCAAGGTCTTCAAGAACTTCACCAACTGAGCTGTCTCCCCAGGGCCAAACCTGTGCTTTTCTATTAAGACAATTATAAATTAACCAAAGAGTTCTGGTGTGCTGGGCAGTGGTGGCGCACGCCTTTAATCCCAGCACTCAGGAGGCAGAGGCAGGCGGATCTCTGTGAGTTCGAGGCCAGCCTGGTCTACAGAACGAGTTCCAGGACAGCCAAGGCTCTTACACAGAGAAACCCTGTCCCAAAAAAACAAAACAAAAAGACAGTCGTAGGGCTGGAGAGATGGCTCAGCAGCCAGGAATACCGCTGCTCTTTTACTTGCTCCTCCACGGGGCAGCTCAGTCACCTCCGGCAGCTCCAGTTCCAGGGGATCTGACACCCTGACCGATAGACAGCAGGCATACACATAGAATATAAATAAATAACTCATTTTAAGGAAGAGTTAATGGGGCTGGAGAGCAGAACCAGTGGTTAAATGCACCTGTGGCTCTTAAAGAGAATCTAGGTGTGTTTCCCAGCACCTGTACGGCACCACACACACATGAATACACGCAGGAAAAACACTCAAATAGATTTTAAAAATTAAAGATTTTTGGTTTTATGAGACAGGGTTTCTCTGTGTAGCCCCAACTGTCCTGGAACTCACTCTGTAGACCAAGCTGGCTTCATCAAACTTAGAGATCCGCCTGCCTCTGCCTCCTAAGTGCTGGGATTAAAGGCGTGCGCCACCACTATCTAGGTCCATTCTTTTCTCCCCCTGATCTTGTTCATTTATTTACACAAACAAACAAAATAAACCACAAAAACCTCAACTGTTGCTATAGTATAGTTTGGCAAGGAAAAATACAGTTGTTGAAATCATATTTTGTTTTTGTTTTGTTTTTTACTAGAAGCCAGGAATATTTTAAATACTAATTTTTATAAAATAGAGAACAATAGACAACAGATAGAAAGAATCACACAGCTCTTCTTCCTCTCTCTCCAAATTTTCCATAAGATGGTTCAGCCTTGTAAATGAAAAATACTCCTCTTGCAGCTAAACCCAAAGAGGGTCCACCTCACAGTCCCACAGCTTTATGGCTAAGCAGTTCCCGGCTGCTGGGCCAGATGAAAGGCTTGCAGAGAACCTGCTGAGAAGTACCTTTCTTTCTCTCTCTTCCTTTTTCTTTCTTCTTTTTTTCTTTGTTTTTTTGTTGCTGCTGGGTTTGTTTTTTTTTTTTTGTTTTTTTTTGTTTTTTTTTTTTTTTTTTGAGAGCAGGTCTCTCTACCTAGTCCTAGCCGTCCTGGAACTTACTGTGTAGACTACGCTCACCTTGATTACAGAGCTCTACCTGCTTCTGCCTCCCAAGTATTAAAGGTATTAGGGGTGAGCACGACCATGTCCAGTTTTATTTTTATTTATTTCTCTTTATTTACTAAAGAAGCAGTTTCTTAGTTTGAGATCGTTGTATTTGGGGATGAGAAAATGGGAGGCTGTGCACTGAGACTTTTTCCACAGTTGGCCTCTACTTGGGAAAAACAAAAGCCTGATCTTGCCTACATTTTCGGGTAACCAAACAGAGAAGCCGGGAACTTACATAGCACCAGTAGTTTTGACAGTAGTGTCAGTACCCGGACAGCCTTTCGCTCCATTCAGAACACATTTACTGGGTGCCTCTCCACACTAAGGACTGTTCTCCTCACTGGATCCTGAGATGTAAATCAAAACAGACAAAACTCCCTACTGTGGGGGGACCTTCATAAGAGTAGTGAAAAGGCGCTCAAAAATAAACGTAAGAGCTGGGGTTGTAGCTCAGTGGGAGAGAGTGCTTGCCTATCAGGTATGAAGTTCTGGGTTCAAGTCTCAGCACTGCAATAATAACAACAAAGATTAGTTTATGGAAAGTGTTAGAACGTGGTGTGTGCGATGGGGAAAAATAAGGCAGAGAAAGAAGATTCAAGTGAGTGGCCATTTGCAGTGCTATTTAGGATGAGCAGAGGAGGCCTGGGTAGAATGCACCCCTTAAGCAAGATGTAAAGCAGAGAAGGCTAACACTTAAGGTAACCGGGGGTAAGCACACAAAAAAGAAAGAACAGACAAGCAGGTGACCACTGTGGTGGGCACAGAATAGAGGTGGAGAGATGGGAGTTAGTTCTCTGCTCAGTAAGGGAGTAGGCCCAGAGTAAAAACTGGAAGCTGCTCACATATGCTGTCAAGAGAACAGAGGATTAAGGGTTAAAACTGCAGAGTTTGAAACACCGAGGAAACTGAGTAAGAGGGCTTGCAGCTGGGTATGAGATCATTGAGCTAGACAGGAAGAAGGACAGAGCTCTGGGACAGTGACGGCCGCCTGGCTGGCCTCCTGAAGCCCTTGAGGAATATACCTAAGGCACTGCTGACCTTTGATGTAGTGCTGACTCTAATTCAGGTAACTGTGACCAACTAAATCATACGTAAATGTGACTTTGCAATAGGACACTTGGACTTAAGAGACCACCCTGTAGACATGGATCCAGAAGGGAAGGAACTAAAAAACACTGCTGCTGCCATTTCTTGGTGCCCAGGGATAGAGCTGACTGTCAGCTACAAACCGATCATATAGATGTGAGGACAGAGAAGTTAGTGTAATCACCAGCACATGGGACATCTGCAAGGTTGGAGGGGACCCTGGGCAGTGAGAAACAGCTCACAGATGGTCAAGGTCAAAGCTAGTGTCGGGGATGGACAGAGACGCAGCACCTGGTCATCTCTCCGTAGGAATAGGGAACAAGCATAGAGCATGTGGGTCTTCCACTGGGCAGCCATGGAAGCCCAGAGAATTAACCAATCTCCATAGAAACCACTTCGGCCTTTGCCCAGTGTCTGCCATTGCTCTAAAAACTCTTCCATAGCATGGTGTCTTCCCCTCTCTCAGAAACCCCTCCCCAATTCTAAGGAATTTCTCTCACTTTTCCTTCATTTCTCACTTCTGTAATATAACTTTTTTTTTCTCTGTTTTTTCAAGACAAGAGTTCTCTGTGTAGCCCTGGCTCTCTGGCTATTCTGAAACTCAGGTGAACTCACTGAGATCAACCTGCCTCTGCCTCTGCCTCTGCCTCTGCCTCTGCCTCTGCCTCCCAAGTGCCACCACCACAGGGGTCCTGCTTCTTCATCACCGCTAATTGCTCAGCTCCAGCTGACCAGCATCCAGTCTCCCAGCAATGCGAAGGTGTCACATTAGCAGTTCTGCTATCTTGTTTACCACAGCTGGTTACCCAGCCCTGGCTAATCAGAACCAGAGACTCCTAAGTCAGAGTAACAGATGGCCTGATAGTCTTTAATCTTCCCTCTGAAACCCCAGAAGCCAGGCCACCATTGTCTACCCCCACTCTCAACATTCTTATCTCCCACACGCTTACAAAACAGCTTACAGAGCTTGTAATACTTAGGGCTTTTCTAGCTCAAAGTTCCAAAGTCCTCCCCTAATCCTCCTCAAAACAGCGTGGTCAGGTCTGCTACAGCAATACCCCATGATCCTGGTACCCACTTGTCTTACTTTGAGTTACCATTGCTGTGATGAAGCTCCATATAACCAAAGAAACTAGGGGAGAAAAGGGTTTATTTGGTTTATCCTTCGACACCACAATCCGTCAAAGGAAAACAAGGTAGGAACTCAAGCAGGGCAGGACCTGGCAGCAGGAGCTGCTGCAGAGGTCACGGAGAACTGTTTGCTGGCTTGATCTTCATTGCTAGCTCAGCCTGCTTTTTTTTAAAAAAAAAAAAAAAAAGATTTTAATTTTTTATTATGTATACATGTTCTGCCTGCATGTATGGCTGACGGCCAGAAGAGGGCGCCAGACCCCATTACAGATGGTTGTGAGCCACCATGTGGTTGCTGAGAATTAAACTCAGGACCTCCGGAAGAGCAGTCAGTGCTCTTAACCACTGAGCCATCTCTCCAGCCCTCAGTCTGCTTTCTTATGGAACCCAGGACCACCAGTCCAGGAATAGCATCACCCACAATGGCAGGGCCCTCCCACATCAATCACTAATTAAGAAAATGGCCGATAGGCTTGCCTTCAGCCTGATGTTATGGAGGCATTTTTGAAGATACGTTTGTAATTATATTTATGTACAAGAAACTTTGCAGTATATTTAACCCTGTTTAGTGGCAAGTTCTTTGGCCTTTGCCTTTTCCAGCTTGGCAATTCGAGCCACAGAGTTAGGACCCAGGACGCTGCCTCCCCAATGGCGGCAGATCTCATCATATCTGTCGTTGTAATTGGTCCTAATAGCTTTCACCAGTGTAGCCAGAGCACCCTTGTCTTCTGAGTTAACCTCTGTGAAGGCAGCAGTGGAACATGTCTTCCTGTGGACCAGGTGCCCCAGCCAGGCCTTTCCCTTGATGATGTAGTAGGGGACCCCCATCTTCCGACACAGAGCAGGCAGGAAGACCACCAGCTGGGGGGGCCTTTGTGGGCCATTACCACCAGCTGGGCCTTCTTCTCCATTGAGGTGCTGAATGTACTGACACCCTCTAAGCCACCACCCCGCTCAAAGGACAGGTGGTCTCCTAGCTGGGACATCCCCTTTGCCTGCAGCTTTCTTCTCAGCATGGCCACCTTTCCCTCTTGGCCTTCTTTCCCCTGGGCTTCTTGGTCAGCTGGAGGAGAGAGCTGGAGGCATTTTCTTGAATGCCCCTCCTCTTAACGGACATTAGCTTGTGTCAAATTGACAGAAAATTACCCAGCACAGACAAGGGTCTCACTATGGATCCCTGACTGGCCTGGAAATGCTGTGTAGACCAGGCTAGCCTCAAACTTGTTATGTGACGATCGAAGTCACAAAATAATCCCACACTCGTTCAGAATTAAATATAATTAATGGTTATTTGTTTGGGGGAAACTCGCAGATCGCTGTCCTGGATCGCAGACCTCTGCGCGAGCGGGGAGCAGGAACTGAGTCTGGCAGCCAGAAGCAGGAGCTGCATTTGCAGTGTGAGAGGCCAGGCCTGGGTGGGCTGGTATCTATCTTGGAGGCTGTTGGCCAAAGGCGCTGCTGCAGCACCCCACTGTGCTCTCACTTAGTGATGTGTACTTTTGTGTTGAAATGTATAGATCGAGATACCCATCAACTGTGTCTTACGTTGTTTATTTATGTATCAGGCAGTGTGCGATCATGCTTTTCCAGTAAGGGTGTCTGTGAAAGGGTAGAGGATTGTTGTTCCTGGTTTCGTTTTTCATATCCTTACAAATTCCCTTGAGATGTTTGCTACCTAGCCTAGATTGTATGTTAATGATTATTTATGAATATATTTGTACAAATAATCCTCATGTTGAGGTCTCTTGAAGAGTAAGTCCAAGGGTAGATGATGTACCCCAACATTTGCTGTTTTGTCAACACCTTTTAACAAAGTTCGTGTTAAAATGCTTAATAGAAGAGAATATAAGAAAGAGTAAATACCTTATATGTGTACCTAAAGCAACCTTTTTATCGTACTGATAGAAATGTAATAATTAGGATAATCAGTCTTCAATTGCATATTTCACAGTATTATAGCTTGATGTCCTAATCATATGTATATATTATTTGAAATTCTATGCATCTTCCTGTCCATATTAGTTATCCATTTGTCACTTCATGGTGAAGTATTTCTTTCTAAGGGAATTATCCATAGATGCCTGATAATGTAATATCAATGAGATATATTTGAAAAAAGCTTCTGTTGTATGATTATGAGGTTCTAGGCCTGACAGATATGTGGAGACCATAAGACAACATTGTGGTATTGACTTTCGGCTCTCTTCATATGGTGATCAAGATTAGGTTACCAGCCTTGCACATCATACACATTTCCCACTGGGCCAACATCCTGATAAGTTGAAACATTAAGTCAGTAAAAAGATTGCCTTCTTTTCAGATTGGAAACATGTTTTCATGTTTATATAGGCCAGAGGATAGAGGAACACCGGACAATTTGAATAATAATACCTTTTCGCAATTGAAAGTGATAAACTGCTATGTCTTTCAAGTATTTGGATACAAACTGGGATATGTAAAGGTCCCCACACTCGGCACCATTCTGTTGACTGAGATTCTGTCCTGTTGGGTCCTGCAGTCATTCAGTCCCAAAGAATCACACAGAGGTCTACATCAATTATAAACTGATTGGCCCAGTATCTCAGGCTCTTCTTTTAACTAATTCTTATAACCTACATTAGCCCATTATTCTTGTCTATGTTAGCCCCGTGGCTTGGTATCTTTTTGGGGAGGCAGTCACATCTTACTTTTTCTGCGGCTGGGTCACAGAATACATCCTCTTCCCAGAATTCTCCTGTTTTCTACTTCCTGCCTGGTCACCCTGCCTGTATACTTCCTGCCTGGCTACTGGCTAATCAGCATTTGTTTAAAATATAATTGACAGGGTACAGACCATTGTCCCACAGAAATTATGTAGCTAGAAATGACGGTGATCTTCTGCTACTCCAACCTCCTGTTGGTTACAGGTGTGAAACACCACACTAGTGTTTCTTGCATGCTAAATAAGCACTGTACCAGCTGACCCACATCCCCAGACCTCACTGAACTTCTGAAAGAGGTTTCTTCCTCCTCTCTCATGGCTTCTTGGACTCTCTAAGATTGACTGTCAGTCTGGTTTTTTCTTCTTTTCTTTCTTTCTTTCCTTTTTTTTTTTTTTTTTTTTTTTTGAGACAGGATTTTTCTGGGTAGTTCTGGCTGTCCGGGAACTCACTCTGTAGACCAGACTCGCCTTAAACCCAGAAATCTGCCTGCCTTTGCCTCCTGAGTGCTGGAATTAAACGTGTGTGCTACCACCACCTAGCAGAATGCTAATCTAAAGATGATTAGAATCATAACAATCATTCTGTTGTTCTTAGGTTGTCACGGCCACCTCACAGAGGCTGGATACCTGCCTGTCTTCAGCAGTCTATGTTCCACTGTAGCATCAGGCAGTGTGTTCTGGGATGTTGTCTAAGGCTAGAAGCCCTCCTAGCTCACTACCTCTGCTCTATGGTCTGATTTCATACCATACTATCTGGACTGTGAAAGCAGACCCTGTGTGTACAGGCTTCTCTCAGGTCTCTATTTTCCCTGTTTTTACTCTACCCCCCCCTCCCCATACATCTGGGGACAGAGACAACAGTGGCCAGAAGGGAACAATATGAATGGATGTTTTTCCTCTATAGTCGAGCTTCTATATTTTCTAAGCTGGGCTTTGCCTCCTTTTCCATTCTCCTCTGCAGGAAAACTGGCTGCTTTGGAAAAAAAAAAAATTGGGAAGCTCTATTCTGTCTGTCCCAGGTCTACTGTGTTTTCTGTTCCCACTCACTTTGAAAAGTAAAAATGTCTTAGTTAGGTTTTCTATTGCGGTAAAGAGACACCATGCCCATGGCAAGTCTTTTTTTTTTTTTCTTCATAATTTTTTTTAGATTTATTTATTTATTATGTATTCAGTGTTCTGCCTACATGTATCTCTGCAGGCCAGAAGAGGGCACCAAGTCTCATTACAGATGGTTGTGAGCCACCATGTGGTTGCTGGGAATTGAACTCAGGACCTTTGGAAGAGCAGGCAAAGCTCTTAACCACTGAGCCATCTCTCCAGCCCATGGCAAGTCTTTTTTTTTTAAATATTTATTTATTTATTATGCATACAATATTCTGTCTGTGTGTATGTGTGTGTGTGCAGGCCAGAAGAGGCACCAGACCCCATTACAGATGGTTGTGAGCCACCATGTGGTTGCTGGGAATTGAAATCAGGACCTTTGGAAGAGCAGGCAAAGCTCTTAACCACTGAGCCATCTCTCCAGCCCATGGCAAGTCTTATAAAGGAAAACATTTAATTGGGTCTGGCTAATGGGGTCAAAGGTTTAGTCTATTATCATCATAGCGGGACATGGCCGAGTGCAGGCAGACATGGTGCTGGAGAAGAAGCTGAGAGTTCTACATCTGAATCTGAAGGCACCAGAAGTGAACTGTCACACTGGGTGTGGCTTGAACACATGAGACTTCAAAGCCCCTCCCCTTCCTCCAACAAGGCCACACCTATTCCAACAAGGTCACACCTCCTAATAGTGCATTCCCTGTGGGCTAAGCATTCAAATAGGCCATACGTATTCAAACCACCACAAAAAACAAAGGAAAGTCTACTTGTTTCTCTCACTTAAAATATAGAACCATAGAGCCACACTAGATAGGGGCTGGAGAGATGACTTGGTGGTTAATAACACTTAAGCTCCCCTAGCACTTGGGTAAAGTGGCTGGCAACCACTTTGTCCCAGGGATCTGACACCTTCTGATCTCCTTGGGCAATGCACACCCACGATACACACACAAACATATAAGCAAAATATCCATACACATAAAAACAAAGGAAAACGTTCAAACGATAATAGAATAAATCTTTGAATAAACAAAACAAAGAGCCGGGCGGTGGTGGCGCACGCCTTTAATCCCAGCACTCGGGAGGCAGAGGCAGGCGGATCTCTGTGAGTTCGAGACCAGCCTGGTCCACAGAGCTAGTTCCAGGACAGGCTCCAAAGCCACAGAGAAACCCTGTCTCGAAAAACCAAAAAAAAACAAAAATAAATAAATAAATAAATAAATAAAAACAAAAAACAAAGAAGAACCCACGAGCTGCTGCCTCTGTAGGTGTGGCGGGTCTGCCGAACAAGCACTGGGCCAGGCTGAAACCCAAACTGGTATAAAGATGTATAAATGTCCTTGTCGGGACACTTAGCTGAACACAGAAAAACAGATCAATCAAACTGGAATTCGCACAGTTACTCTACAATGTTTGCCTTGGTGCTTTCCGCTCTCACTATATTTAGTATATTGTGCTTATGAGCTAGCTCATTACTCTGTGATAAATTTATTTATTTTTCTTTATTTAATTAATTTTGAGACAGGATCTCAGTGTATAACTTTGACTGGCCTGGAACTCAGAGATCTGCCTGCCTCTGCCTCTTGTGTGCTGGGATTTAAGGCGTACATCATCATGCCCAGCTCCTCTATGGTAAATTTTTGTGATGTACAAAAATATTTCCATAGCCCTTCACACACATTAGGATGGCTATAATATTCTTTTTTTTCAATGTGAAAAATAGCAAGCACTGGTCAGAACGTAGAGAGACTGGAGACTTTCTGCGCTGCCTATAGGGATGCTGTGGGAAATAGTATGGCAGTTCCTCAAAAAGTTAAACATAGAATTACCATATGGTCCAGCAATTTTACTTCTGAGTATATTCCCCAAACAACTGAAAGTACGGGTACAAACAGATCTTTGTATTTTAATGCTCATAGCAGTGGTAGTCACATTTGCCAAAAGGTAGGAATAACCCAAATGTTTACCAACAAATGAACGGCTGAACAAAGTGTGGTGTGTATACACAGCAGAATATTAGTAAGCCTTA